CACTGACACAAACAAACACAAACACACACACACACACACACACACACACACACACACACACACACACAGACACACACACACACACACACGTATGCATTGTAAGAGCAGCAGAGCGGCCGTGTGACTGTTCAGAGTCGTTTGAATGATTCACAGAATTATTAAGGCCTTTCATTTGTAATATTTAGTAACCCTGTAATTCACCTTCTCATCAGACATTTTGAACTCATGTTGTCATTAATAAGTAACACAATGGCATGTAGAGTCACATAAAAAATGTAGGTAAGGGTTGTCAGAGCCGACAGCCCTGTGGGAAGCAAGGAGCTGAATCTTGACTAATCTAAATAAAAGCAAAAATGCCCAAATAAATAGTGGGTAAGGGTCATCAGTCATGGTGGGTTGGATGTAACTTCACACCCCGAACGGTTAGAATGTCTTATTAAGTTATAGCCACTGCAGTGGACGTCATTGAGCAGAGGGTTAAATGTGTGTGTGTTCATGTGTGTTCATGTGTGTCGCACTGCTGCTTCATCATCATTAATTAATATTCCAAGAGACATGAAACACGTGAAAAATATCAACAACAGCTGAAAACAACAGAAACGCACATCCTTCAAAAAAAGAGTCAACATTGGAAAGCTGTTCTAGACAAATATAGGAACTGGCTGATATTACACTGCTGGAATCATTACTTCTTTTTTATTTATTTTTGTTATAATGAACAAATGAAATTTATATCAGAAACACACTATAGCTGCCAAATATGTCACACTGAACTATAACCTGAGGCACAAAACTCCTTATGTATCCTAATGATGTGTGTTAGTACAGATATACTGTATGGGGAAGACCAGGACTAGCTGTCAACGTTGTTCACAGCTTGAGTCTTGCTTTTGTTTGTTTGTTTGTTTTTTAGACATTTCAAACTCAACTCCAATAACACTTTTTTTGGTAGAACTGTGCAGTTTTTCCCCCATAAATGTCACACTTCTTCAGGCAAATTGGCATGTATGTTGTAATTTTACACTTTTTTTTTTTTTTTACACTTTTATGAGAAATAATTCTGCTGCAAAGTTTTATTTTTTATATATATATATATGTGGTTTGTTTATACAGGAATTGATTTTTAAAAATAAACCACCATGATAAATATTCACTGGACTAAACTGCGACAGTTCTCCTCTATGTATATGCCATTTTAGCATAAATATTAAACAAAAAAATAAGTTATAAGTATTATTATTATTATTATTAACCACAGTTTAAATTCTACTTTAATTATCCTCTCAATATGCCAAAGATGAAACTGAAAAACTGAATAGATCGTTTAGTTAATAGACGTTGTATTCCTCTTTTTTTGTCATTTGCAAACTCAATTGATCAGAAGCGAGAGTGTGTGTGTGTGTGTGTGTGTGTGTGTGAGAGCGTTTGATCTGTGCTTTCATATGCATATGCTGTAGGAACTCAAGACACTTTAAGCTGTCTCTCTGTCTCTCTGTCTGTCTCGCTCTCGCTTTGTTCGACAGGTTCTCTGCTCTTTTTCTGAAGAGTTCATTGAAAACCCGCTTGACCTTCATCGGCTGTGAAGTTGTAGGAATATCTAATGACGGAGCCTGAGAATCACCTTTGAAAGGTGAGATTTCCGCCGCTCTCATAGAGTCAAAGCCAGAACTGAAGTGTCCTCTAAAACAAAAACACATGAATATATGGACGACGTATGATAATTCAGTCCACACACGCTCACTCACATTCACACACGTTCTTGAAAAGTTCTTTAATTTGGCTACTTTTATTTGAGCATAGTCATTTCCAAGAGAAATTAATTAAAATCCATAATACTCTTACAAAGACAATTCAGGAAAGATTCGTGTGTTTTCAGTCATGATATTATCATACATTAAATTTCAACTGTCCCTGTTCCACTTCAACAAAAGACATGTGGATCTCTTTTTTTCTTCTTTCAGTTGAAAATACAGTGTTCTCACAATGTTGTATCAAAAGTTCCCAAATTTTGGAATTTCCAGTAAATGGAAAGTAAAAGAACAAAAACAATGAACTGAAATGAAATCGAAAATTTGCATTTCACAATTAATGTTTCAAAACACAATAAATGCTCTCATCAACTCCAGCTTCCATTTTACTAAAATAGATCTATTTATTGAAGAACTATAATACTGTACTGTACAGTATGAAATAAATAAAATCAGGAGATACAAAATGGGCCACATAAATAAGATGTCATTTAAACCTACAAATAAAAGGATGCAATGCTGTCATTGCAAAACGGTTTGGTGTAATACTGAGAACGAAATTGCACAAACGTCGTTGTAAACTAAAGAGCTGCTGTGCTAACAGAGAGATCGTGCTGATCGGAGAGAGACAGAGAGAGACGGCTCGCGTCGCTCTCCTCTAATACTGAACAGGGTTGGCACTTTAGAAACGCGCTGATTAACAAGTTTGCATATAAGGCAACAACCTTCCAAAGGCTCAGTCCATCCGTCGTCTGTCCCGGTCGAATGATCGTTCTCTCTCTAAACAGTCTCTTTAAGACTCGAAATCGTCAAAGCAAACGGAATACTGTTACGGTCCTTCACGTGAATTCGGCCTAAAAGAGTGTGTGGCGAGGGCAGAAAAAAACGCATTAAATACTGATCCCCTGCACCCCTTTTTAACACTGTATAAATATACATCAGCAAATAATTTCATTATTCTCGTAGGGATTATAGAAGCAGAGTGCAATTTTTGTACAAGTTACTAGTTTGTGCTATAAATACTATGGAACACGTGATTTTAGGATGGTAGCACCACACATACTTTAGGCCTTAATACTGTACAATTTGTAAAACTTCATTTATTTTTTATATTTTTGCATAATGCAGCTTCGCAGACGACCCATCCCCCAAGCGAACAGCTACACCACATCCTCGGGATCCCATTTGGATTCAGTTTTGCCGTCCACGGAGCTCTCGTCCATCGAGTGCTCGCCGTTTTCCTCCTCGTCCCTCATGGTGTCCCCGTCGGTGTCCATGCTTTTGTTTTCGCTCTCCTCTTCCTCCTCCTCGAACTCCTCGTCTCGCCGGCCCATCTTCACGAACGCTCCTTCCACCTCCTTGAGTCGCTCCCGAATGCTCCCGTTCAGGCCGTCCCTCAGGATAGGCTCTGGTGTATGCTCTGGGTATCCGGGTGGAGCGATGCCCTGCAGGTATGCCCGGTTTAGCAGCAGCTCCGTGGGCTCCAGGTGACCCTTCTCTCGGGCTTCTCGCTCGGCCGCCTCGCGCTCCTCCGCCTCTCTCTTGCAGTACGAGTATCTGTGGTTCATGTGCTGCGAGTACGAGCCCGAGTGCGAGAAGCGCTTGCCGCATTTGTCGCACTGGTAGGGCTTCTCTCCGGAGTGCAGGCGGCTGTGTTCAATCAGATGATGCTTGTGTTTAAACGCTTTCTTGCAGATCTGACACTGGTGTGGCCGTTTACCTGCGGAAACACACAACGACAGATTGCACGCGGTGAGCGAGCGGATATGCACTCCTCACAAACACACACCAGATCTTGCACGCTAACCAAAATAAACACCAAATAAAAGGGTTCCGATGAAAACGAGCCAAAATAATCCAGTGTTATGAATGTTTGCCTGCTCTGGTTCTGCTTGACGCGCCGCCGTCTCGTTTGTGTATTTACTCTGTAACATTCCCTCACAGAAGTGAAGCGTGAAGCGGTGAGGCAGCGCAGGGCCCAAGCGCTACAACACTGCAACATAAATAAACCAGCGCAAACCAAACAAACACACAGAGCTGGAGCGCAGGAACAAACACATAGAGTGAAATGCGCTGGCGGATTCCTGCTGCGTAACTCTTTTTCTGTCGTTTGGAGACTGAGATGCTGTTGTGTGCTGCATGACGCGTGAGGTGACATGTCACCGCCTGACGTCACGAGAAAAGACCCGGGGCGACAAGAGCTGAAAGAGAGGGATGGATGGCATGAATGAAAGAGTGAAGGAGCGAGGGGAGACGCTGCGGTCAGAATTTAACAGGTGCTCGAGGCCAAAAATAAATAAATAAAAAAAGCCACCGAAAGTGACAGATTTCCCCTAGATATTTAATTGCTGGGGTTTTATGTAATATTTGCTATATTCCATCATACTCTCCTCTAGGCCAGTCGAGTGACCTGTAGCTGTCAGATATCTGTATTCACGCTCTCAGAGGTGACTGATGTTCAATATGCACATGATATGCTTTTTTCATGAAAGTTATGCAAAATGTATTCTAGCTTAATGTTTATGTGCTATAATATTTGTGCATCACTTTTGCATTTTATGCTTTTTGATTGCAAAATGAACATCCATAATTATTCAAATATCATTTTTGTAATAAGTCAAATAGTGTAATTGTGCTTTTTTATTATTAGTTGATTCACAGTTGACATGCACCATGCTCTGTATTTTTTATTTATTCATTTAATATTTTCCCCTGAAAATCCAATGAAAATCAACTGTAGGGGGTAAATATTGCTCTTAATAAAAACAATTTGCATGCATTACATTAGCATTTAAATAGTAATGTGCATGTTGTGAACTAGTTGTGGGCGATATATTGAATATTTGTGATGATTTTGAAGGCAATATAAAATTATGCAACATTGTGTTCATTTTAATGCACTTCATATTTGACAATTAACTTTCTTTAAATATATTAAATATACATTATTTATTTGTAAATTATTTGTATTAATTTAAATGAACTGATTCAAAACACTCCTGTAGCATTTTTCATATATTAAATAATTTATTAAAAAGACGATGCAAATACTGCGTTGTATTACTACAGATCGTTATACAGTCGTATATAAATGAAAGTGAAAAAACATGCATTGATTATTTTAACTATATTTTTCAGAAATGCACTGCTTGCATTAAACATTTAAAATATACCCTTAAGTTAATGATTTATCTGATTGGAAAACAAATACTTAAATATCAGAATGCATATTGAATATAATTTTTATTGAGGTAGAAACATATTATATAAGACATAATTGTTTATGTTGTATTGCTTAGTCTGACATTACACTGATATGCTACATCAGTCCTAGTCTGAACTTTACATTTACTGACACATGTAACTGGCCAAGAGCTGACCGCAAACAGCACAGGAATGCACCGCCGTAATACACGATCACCCACTCGCAGAGAGAGAGAGAGAGAGCGAGAGAGAGAGAGAGAGAGAGAGAGAGAGAGAGAGAGAAATTAAATAGTTGTATTCACGTCAGTGGATTCATTCCCATGTCCTTCCAGACTGACTGTAAACGGTGATGCAATCAAGAGAAAGAAACTGTGTGTGTGTGTGTGTGTGTGTGTGAGAGAGAGAGAGAGAGAGTGTGTGTGTGTGTGTGTGTGTGTGTGAGAGCGAGAGAGAGAGAGAGTGTGTGTGTGTGTGTGTGTGTGTGAGAGAGAGAGAGAGTGTGTGTGTGTGTGTGCGCAGTTACTCTCCTCCTCTAATTCACTTTTATTTCACTCTTTTATTCACACTGGCTGGTCTCTGGAATAGAATGTGACCTTAACTCCATGTCTACAGCGGGCATGAGTTGCACATCACAATGCATCAAAACTAAATCGCTCCCTTTATAATCAATGACGCTGTCTAGAGTTGCTTTCAGCGGACAGATGCTCCGTTTATATTTCTAAAGAGCTGCAGAGCTGCTCCAACCACTTTATTCTCCCATCCTTCCGAAAAACTATTATTTTACTTGCAAACCCTTATATGTGTGGAATTAATTTTATTCTATGAATTTAATTCTTGATGTCTCTGGTCTCTGCCTTTTTTTTTATTTAAATCATATTGTGTTTTTAACCCTATGCAGTTTTATAAAACATTTTGTATTATAATTTTATTGGTTCTAAGATAGCCCATGCTAAATCAATTTTCTGTTGAAAATTATTAATTTCAATAAAAGCGTAGCCTCAAGCTTACAGCGGATTGATCAGTGTTAAAGAACCAGTGTACACATGCTGTCAGGCTACATTCACACCGAAAGTGTCCAATCCTGATTTAGGCAACACATTTCACATTTTTGTCATATTTTATTTCAAAATTAAATTAGAAAAAGTATCTTTATTTGCATTCTCTATTCTATTTATATTGTTACTGTTCAAAGATGTGACCCTGACAATTTTATATCTAATGTAAATCAAAATACAAGTATAAATGTAAGTATATTGCTGCATTTTTATGTGTAATAATTAACACAGTGAATGCATTATATTAATTGCAAGGGTAAATCAAGCATGCAGTTATGACAACTGTTAAGTTACACTGGCATAAACAAATATAAAAACACATTTACAACCTAAAAATGTCACATGAAGTCATTTAGCAAAAATGTTGCCAGTTTATTTTATTTTATTTTTTTCACATTTGAAATGTAATTTTCCCTGTTCATACAACCATCCAAAATCAATTCTGTAAATTAATAAATAATAAATAAATGTGTGGTGTGAATGTAGCCTCTACTAACAGTGCAAAGGTCAAAGGTTCATGCTCCCGTTCACTCCCAGACAATTCCAAAAAAGTATTCAGTCCAGCTTCTTGTTTGTGTGTTTTTTCTAACTGTTTAATTTTGCTTAAATATTTTCTTAATTTAGTGCAATGTCAGTGTCATGTTTTTGCCACATTAATTACATTTACAAATCCTCTCACTGACTGTCAACAGGAGAGAAACATGTTGGTTTTTACTAAAAAAGAAAAAAAAAGAAAACATGATTAAGGTAGTGGAAAAAGACAGAGCGAAAGAAAGAAAGCAAGAAGCAGCGTGAATATTCTGGAGTTAGACAGACAGTTATTAAATGATGGTGTCTAGAACAGTATATATACCTGTGTGTTCATATTTGTGTCTGAGGAGGGAACTGCTCTTCTGGAATGTTTTGTCGCAAAGGTCACACGCGTACATACCACTTTCTGTTTTCTTAATCTTCTTCCTGGACAGACAGGCCTCGGGGTCGGCCATATCATCTAGACTGCTCAGATAATCTGCCGGCCCGTCGAGAAGCTCGCTCTGGAAAGAGACGGCGACCGTTAGCTCCTTGAGTTTAGTATTATTTTTATTGTCATCACACAATGTGGTTCACTCTACAGTGCAACGATAATAAAAATAACAAATCACAAATGGATAAGCATTAGAATAAAATAAACTTTTACAAAATCTGCTGGTGTCAGAATCAATTACTTACAATTATGATAATTTACAATTCAAAATTAATGTGATATGATATATGATGTGATATGATATAAAAATAACAACATGATCTAATGATATAATTTATTAATATTTTAATGATTATTTATAATTAAATATGTTCATAATGAACTGTAATATAAATTATACACCCAGATAAAATAATCAATAAACTGTAAATGACAGAGAACTTGCTTGTTTAATCTATTTATGTATTTCATGATTTTCCTTCTTTTTTTATTTTTATTTGAATATGTAAAAATGAATAAGATACGCATTTCTTAGCTAAAACTGGAGTAGGAGTCTTAAGAATTTAATATTAAAATGTTTGCGACCTGAAAAAGCATGTAAAGGCAGGATATTACAAATGAGGCCTTTCTCTCTTCTTAATCACACCTTATTCCATATATTTGCATTCAAATTTGGTTTAATTTCATACATGAAAGGGTGTTAGCGCAGTATTTATCTGAGCAGAGATTACCCCGATAGGCTTAAACTTAAATTAATGGGGAAAAAAATATTACATTAGAAGCTAATAACAATAAGGAGAGAGTCTTAGTAGGGAATATTGCCACAGTCCTCTAATTTCAAACGGTAATGATTAAATCAAGAGGGGCACAAAATGGCCAAAACTGCAGCGACAATGCCCTCATTAAGGACAGCCGGCTCTGGACTGACAATACTTCTGCGCACTCTCTTTTAAAAAGCTCTGTGCTATCGTTCCGCAATCAATTTGAGCTAAATGCCCTTAGCTGTATTTTTAAAATCTAATTTAATAACTTAGAATAGGAAACATTATTAATACTTTTTTATCAGAATGGTTTCCCCGATGTTAAACAGCCCTCAGCGCTGAGCTGTAATGAACATGGGGAGTGTGCATTATTAATCTTTATGCTCAAGCTCATTTCAGCCTTTCTTGCTGTAGAAATATAGGGAAAAAAGGGGTAGAAATAAAGAGATATGTCTAAGGTTCACTGATTCTCTATGTCTCTGGTTTTTTTCACACCTGAGATGGGAAAAAGAGCAGCGGTGCCACAGGCGCATCTATGCTAGACCGATGTTTCCTGCTCTCGGTATCTTGGACGAGCCACTCAAGAACTGGCAACATAACCTTTACCACTAAAAGAGCCAGCGTATGGCACTAGAGGCATTGACATCTACCACAGGAACCGCGGTTCTCTTTCATCACCTCATCCGCCGCTGGGCGTGAGGTGAGCTCCCCTCTCCCACTCTGAGTGGCTTTTAATTAGTGTCTGAATGAAGCCGAGCGCCACTCACCAGAGGGATAGAAAATATAAACACAAGGCCTGAGGGTTTATGAAACAGCGAGTCTGTTATTTACCTGGAACCCTGGCTTCCGCTGGTATTTTCTCCTCTGCTGCATCTCGGCGAAGCTGGCCGCGCCTGCCGCGTACGTGTAGGCCATGTGCGGCAAGAAGCTTATCTGGTCAAGGCTGGGGTAGGGTCTCAGCCCCGGGAGACTGGCTTGGACCGGAGGCATGAACGTAGGGGGAGGAAATGCACTTTGGGGCGGGAGGGAAGTGTACAGGGGTTTGGCAGTGAAGGGGTTCAGACCAAACATGGGGCTCGAGCTTTTGTTCAGATTGCTGTTTGCATTGGGGCTGCCAAACTCCTTAGAGAGATAAGCCAAGTTGAGCGGCTCGTCTGCATGCTCGCGGAGTGTCATGACGTGGTTATGGTCAGTGGGGGTGCTGTTTAGCTTGGGTCGGCTTTTCATAGTCAAGATGTGCTTTGACTCTTTCATGAGCTTTGGCAACGAGAGGTCAAGAGGTTCAGCCTGCAGGTCCTCAGAGGTGAAGCTGTTGGGTGTGTAAGAGCTAGTGTGGGAGTTTTTGGAGGAGGCAGATGACAAGTTTAGAGGAGATGGCGTGTTGCTTCTGGAGTGGCCCAGCTTATCCCTGAGCGGCTTGTGGTTGGAGAACTGAGGGGTTTTGGAGAGCCTGAGTGGGGTGTCGTAGTTGTTAATGTTGTTATGAAGCTCGAGGATGGATGGGGATGTGATGTGATCAGTACCTTTGACCAGGGACATCGGAGACCGGATGCCTAACGAGTCTTTAGTGGGCGTGTGAACGGAGACTGGATGACCAGATTCCACGTGGTTCCTGTCTAAAGGAGGAGTCCTGGAATTAGCATACTGAAAGACTTTCCTTTGCTCAAACCACTCTTTCACAAACTCCTGCGGAAGGCCGACTGCTATGGAGATTTTCAGTAGTTCTTCTGAGTTGGGCTCCATGTTCATGGCGAAATAAGCTTTCAGCACTGACATGTGGTCCTTGTAGGGACTGATAGGGCAGTTGACGCCCTTCTCGGGAATGACGGAGGGATGCAAGAGGACATGTTTCTCAGCAAACAAGCCAGTTTTGTTGGTCGAGGCATTCTGAGCGGGCTGAAGCACGGCCTTGATTTCCTCATTCATCTTGCAAAGGTAGCGCTCGTGCTGGTGCAGGGGAATGGGGCCAGGGAAGGTCTCTTTGCAATATTGGCAGGAGAAGGGTGTAAACATTAGATTATTATTCTCATGCGTTTTGTCCTCTATACCTATATCTAGCATATGATTTGCCTTCTCTTTCTTGATATTGCTTATTTGCCTCTTAGAGTCCGTAGTCAAGCTCTGAAGGCAGGCTTTGGCTTCGTTGACCTTCTCAAGTGTGTAGTCTATGATGCTCTTTGTGGCACCGTTGTGATTGATGAGTGGAAGAGTATTCTGGGGTCCACCTGGAGAGGTGAGCCCTTGCTTCTGTTCCTCTATTTGGGAACCCAACTCCTTCATGTAAGCCTTCAACTTGGAGATCTCCTCTGGCTTGTAGTCCATCTTTTGTCGACAAACTGTGTTGTCCACAATCTGCAGGACCCTCTGAACCTCGCTCAGGTTGTTTCCCAGTGATGGGTATCCCAGCATTTGCCCCTCCATCCCCATGCCCAGGTGCTGAAGGGGATTATGGGAGTTATGAATGCCCAGTGGGCTGCCTCCCCTCATACCACCATTGAGGAAGGGGCTGCCTGTACCGTAGCCATGAGAGGCCATCATCAGCTTATAGTCGTTGAAGTCCAATGGTTCAGATTTGATGTTGAGGTGGTTGGACTGGTCTTGCAAACCGAGTGGTTTGCCATTCTCCAGTTTGTGTCGTAGCTGTGAAATGGCGTTGTTCGTTGGGGAGGACGATGCAGAGGTCGGAGATGAACCCGTCTTCATATTGTTCCTCGCCCTGCCATTGATGGCGATCAGTCCGATGCATTTCTTACTGCTTATGTGTGAACTGTAGGACCCGGAGTGCGAGAATCTCTTCTTACAGTTTGGACATTCGTATGGCTTCTCACCTACAGTGAAGACAGACAAAGAATTTGATCACATCAAAAAGTGAGAGATGTTCTTATCAACACTGATTGCATTTCTTTCAAAGTAAAGAGTGTGTACCCTCTCTTTATCTAATGAAACATCTTTGCTGAGACAAAGCAAACAAAGAACCCATTAATTCTGATGTAGAATTAAGAACATTCTTTGCTAAAGCAATGCGTTATGAAATAAATAAAACGACGTACCACTGTGTATCCGCAGGTGCTCCTTTAGATGGTGTTTGTATTTGAAGGCCTTGCCGCATTCGGTGCATTTGAACTTGCGGTTGCCAGAACCCTGGTTGAGTATCTGGTGCTGTGGATGAGAAAATATTCACATGAGCTTCCCTTGCACAAACACACAACAGGCAAGATTTCAGTGAATAATTTTATGACGGGCCAAATGGCTCCCGTTGTAAAGCAGCATCTTGCTTTGGTTGGGTGCATTTGAGCAGCGATAACAGAGCATCTCATACCTTTTCATTTCCTGATTCTAGAGCCAGAAATGCTGCATTGGCAGCGAAAAAAAAAGAAACAAAAAGAATCCTATTTTTAAGATGTTTTTCCTCATTAGGGAGACAGAAATGATCCACTTCATCTAATTTAGCATAATCGTTCCAAACAAATCACGCATATTTAACCAACACATCCTTCAGATACCTGTGCAAAGAGATCATTACGCAAAAAGGTGGACTCGCATAAATGTTGCAATTTTATAATTGGACACAAATTTGTAGACTGTTTAAAGGCTTCAAACGTCTCTTTAATAATGCGTGAATGCGGCTCGTAGGCAGGCACTTAATTTGCTGTTCAAAGGTAGAACATGAGCGCTGCGCCCCTCGCATTTGCAATTCAAAGCAGAGCCTCGAAAATCAAAATATAATAACAATAACATCAACAACAATACAGGCGTCAGTGCAGAGAAGCAGAAAGCGCACCAGGCGAGCACAATTAATTCAGAGTGGGAGGTGAGTATGTCGAACGGGCATAGGAACACAAAAGGCCTGTGAGTGCCGCCCATGATCGGCTCCGACAACTGGTGGGGAGAGAGAGAGGCCCGCATTCCGCTGGAGACAGATGGCATAAAGCACAGGACACAGGGAGGATTGTTCAAACAGCGGCAACCTTCAAACATCAAGCGGGGAGCAAGGCGGCCCACGGTGGGGAGGGACCCCACCATTCGCTCATATGTTGCTGAGTCGCATAAACAAACAGCAACAGCTGCTTTACGCCCCTACCTTCCCTCTGAGGATGGAGGCAGGTTTTAGTCCCACCATCACCCTCGATGTGATACAGTCACTCCGTCTACCTAATTGTGACTGGCAGCAGCGAGAGGAGAGGGATTTTTCCGCCCGGTGTGATGCATTTGCACTAAGTGTGTCAAGCATGATGTGGGAGGGGCATTTGATTGGGTATTTGTATTTTATTGGGCTTAGCAAGTATCGGTAAACTAGAGTCACGTACACATGTAGAGCGCTCTACTGCGCATCACGGACTGATTTCAATGGCCATCGGATTTTCAGACAACTGCAAATTTTCAACAGGAAAGTCTTTCAAGATGAAGCGCACAAACAAAGACCAACAAATAGGAAGTAATTTGTGGATTAGAGAGGTCACGGGTGCAGAATGGGCCATCTGTTCATGTTTCGAGCGGCCCGTGGCATCAGGTGAAGAAGTTGGCAGCTCGTCGTGTATCAAATCATTCTGTTCTAGTCAGAACGTCATGTCTGAGAGATAAAAGAGCTGCTGTACCTCATCTCGGATGATTACAGGAGCGAGTCTGATGTCCTCTTTGAGCCGTAAAGATACGTTTTAAGTGGTTCAGTCACTAGAGAGATCCACGTATCACGTTGCATTACATAGACCTGCTTTATTTACAAGAGGAGATGCAGTGTATCTACCTGTTTATACAGGCGAATGCGTCTTATATCTGACACGAAAGCCACAACAACCCATATAATGTATGTAAATAATGCTGCAACAGATTGTTAAGAAATAAAACGCTGAGTGCTCGGCTCACGTTTATCATTTACGCACGTGGAAATTATGATGTGTTACTCTGTCACCGCAGAGAAACTGATTTTTAAAGAACATAAAAAAGAAAACCTAAAGAGCGGATACATTTCGAAATTGGAAATTAACATAGTCATTCGATCGTGAATATAAGACTGCAGAATCATATCAGAGCAGGCCATCAAAAAACCATTTAGACCTCAATTAAGGCTATAACCATTAAAAGATCTGCATCTTCAAAATGGCATGAAAAATTAATAATGATTGACAATCAAAATTATATCTTTTCTCCGAGGGAATACAGCACATTAGATAGAGAGAGAGCGAGAGAGGAAGTGTGGCTCACCTGATCTCGTCCTGGCTTGTGTGTGGCCATATGTCTCTCCAGCTGAGTGCGGTAACCAAACGTGTAGCTGCACAGAGGGCAGGCGAAGTTCTCCTCGTTTTTCTCGTGCCGGTACTTGATGTGTTCCTTTAGGGAAGTCAAGCGTTTGTAACCCCGGTCGCAGTAGGGGCAGGTCAACAGTTGGGCGAAAGCATCTGGAGTTCCAGGTGGCAGGTCTGCAGCAGAGAGAGAGGGGCAGTGGGCCAAAAGGTCAGCAAATCAATGGCAGCGAATGGGCGCTGTGCCCAGGGTGGTACGAGGAGGTATCTGTACAATCTGCTCCACTGTGTGACGCCATCAAAGTTGGCACTGCCACCCAAACACGCACTCACGCCAATGCATGAACACACAGTAGGTGCATTCGAATTCACACAATTCGCTGAGTTTTGCTCGTGGGCTTTAGGTGAAGAAATATAACACATTCATGTTTTAAACTATTTTACACTCCTAAAGTGGGAACATGCTAGTGACAGACATGTCAGATTAGCCAGGCCCATAATTTGGAAGATGTTTAGCCATTTAAAGATGATGGCATCGGCCAATAATTAAAAAAAACAGGTCAAATTCAATATCCACTGACCCTTTTGGGAATGGAAAATGCAAAATTTTTTTTTCAGTAAATATTGTTCAAAATTAACTATAAATCAATAATAAAACTAAGTTGGAAATAAATGTAGTCGGTTTTATTTATATGATATCTGCAAATATGAGAATTGTTTCTGCCACTAGCTACATTTGCTCTTTAATATTAATATAAAAACATATGTTAACACTTTACTTGAAGCCTTTGTATATAATGCATCATACAATAATTGTAATGCATTAATTATGCCCTGTAATGCACCTCATAATACACTGTATGATCTCATGAATAATTATAACCACAGATTTATTATCCTTACCTATTTGTTTTACACCTTTAGAAAGTATTATGCATTAGAACATTGTATTGCACTGTAACAAGGAATCTGCAAATATTTAGGTTATTTCTGAAAAAATAAATATCATACTTTATAACGTACCTTATGAACATGCATTATGCATAAATGCATCAAGTGTTACCAAGCATTCTTCTATTAAAATTGTATTTGTGTTGGTTCTATGCAGTTTATGGTAACATTATGGGTTTTGTATATGGGTCGCCACTTGGCGTTCAAAATTAAATCCGGGTCTTGAAACAGAAGCAGATGGGAGCCTCACAATTGGCCTGGACTTCTTTGGATTGTGTCGGAATAAACTGCTACTAACCCTAACTGGCTAAAAGCAGTTGTTTACAATGGTTTAAACCCAAACACAGTGAGTTTGCTGATGCCGTTTGGGGGCCAGTTGTGTTCTCTCCGTTGTAATCGCTTCTGGTGGCTCGCACGTCTAATTTTTCACACGTTCTTCATAATCGAGGTATGCGGCTGCCCCCCTCAGGACGGGAAATTTCAGGTTTATGATTTCACCACTCGGACAGCTGCACTAAAGGTAAACACTGCGGCATGCAGCCAATCAGACGGCGGCAGCAGCTGCTGGGCATTCTCACCGTTCTCCTCGTGTCCGTTGGCTTCGGGCGTGGCGAGGCGGGAACGGGAGAGTTCCTCCGGTGCTTCGGGGTAGATGATGGCTGTGTCTCCTCTCTGGAGGTATTCGGCAATGCTGACCACATGACTTTCACTGTCCACCAGTTTACGCTTCCGGAAGAAATCCTCAAACTCAGTAGCGCAGTGTACGCTCTTCACTAGAAACACACACACACACACACAGAGAGAGCGAGAGAGAGTGTGTTTAAATAAAACCTGGATTCTTGCTTGCATGAGAAAAATATGGAGCATTGGAAGGTGACGCAAGCCTGCGGCAGCAGCTGTGATCAAAAGAATGCAGGAACATTAGAGAAATGTTCTAGGAGGGATACGTCTAAATTACTGCCTTATCTAGCCACCTAATAGACACTAAAATAAGAAATATGACTTAATCTAACAGGAGAACCATTGGAATTGTGGAAAAGCTTTTTAACGATAAACCCTTTTTTTCTACTTTTAAAT